ATGTGCCTCCCAGTTCTGTGACTCCCGGACGATTTTTCTGGCAGGCAGGACTAGCTAGCTTGTTTCCCTGGCTCCCCGATTACTGTTCCCGACCCCAGGTCTGGTTGACTGGGAACTGGCGAGCGAGATGTTTGATTGAGGCAGGCTTAGGATGACACATAGGAACCCTTGCCCAAGCCCAAAGATGGGAGAGAGGTTCTGGGTAATTTTCACAAAAGTAGTTGGAGTTAAGAGAGCACAGCCAGAATCCAGAGCTCTGGCAACCCGGAAACCTCCAGTTTCTTGATTCCAGTTATGGGCTCCAAAGCTGGAGCATTACCCAGATCATTGGTGGCTGTCATCTTCCTAGGATAGAGGGGCCCAGTTGAGCCTACACTCTTTTATGTTGCCTTTGGTCCCCAGACCCGGAACCCACTTGTGGCAGTGTACTACACCAACCGGGCCCTGTGCTATCTGAAGATGCAGCAGCCTGAACAGGCACTTGCTGACTGCCGGAGAGCCCTGGAGCTGGATGGGCAGTCTGTGAAGGCACACTTCTTCCTGGGGCAGTGCCAGCTAGAGATGGAGAGTTATGATGAGGCCATTGCCAATCTGCAGCGAGGTGGGCTGACAAGATGCCATGTGTGGGCACCTTGGGGCCAGGATTGTTGGCGAGTGTAACTTAAACTGTCCACTCCCCCAGCCTATAGTTTGGCCAAGGAGCAGCGACTCAACTTTGGAGATGATATCCCTAGTGCCCTTCGCATTGCTAAGAAGAAGCGCTGGAACAGTATCGAGGAACGGCGCATTCACCAGGAGAGTGAGCTGCACTCTTATCTCACCAGGCTCATTGCTGCTGAGCGAGAGAGGTGGGTCTCCCCCCTACCATGCTACTTCCTCCGAATGACACTGAGTCACCAGCACAAGTGTTTATTGAAAGACAACACTGGCACATGGGAAGCCCAGGAGGAAAGAGGCCTGAAGTGGGGAAGGCTCTGGTCTTTTCTGGTCAGGACCATCACTGACTAGCTTCTGGTTAACCCTCAGGGAACTGGAAGAGTGTCAGCGGAACCACGAGGGTGATGAGGATGATGGCCACATCCGGGCCCAGCAGGCCTGCATTGAGGCCAAGCACGTGAGGGTGCCCCTAGTCCACATGTGGGTCATTGTGTGTGTGTTTTTGTGTGTGGCATGGAAAGTGCCCCAGCCTATGGTGGATCTGTTGGCCCATGCATGACATGAGTGCCCTAGTGGACATAAGGTGTGTGTGTCTGTGTGGAGGAGATATGAGTTGCCCACACATGGCACTCAACTCTACAGGATAAATACATGGCAGACATGGATGAGCTCTTCTCTCAGGTGGACGAGAAAAGAAAGGTGGGTGTTCCTTGAAGCCCGTGGGCAGGTGCTGGTGTGGTGATGCTTCCCGTTCCAGACATTTTCTCCATTGTGCTGTAGAAGCGAGATATCCCTGACTACTTGTGTGGCAAGATCAGCTTTGAGCTGATGCGGGAGCCCTGCATCACACCCAGTGGTATCACTTATGATCGCAAGGACATTGAGGAGCACCTGCAGGTAAGGGTCCCTGGGTGGGCCTTGGGACTGGGATTAGAGGCATACTCAGGCGGTTGAACACTCTGACTCTGTTGTTGCAGCGTGTGGGCCACTTTGACCCCGTGACCCGGAGCCCTCTGACCCAGGAACAGCTCATCCCCAACTTGGCCATGAAGGAAGTCATTGATGCATTCATCTCTGAGAATGGCTGGGTAGAGGACTACTAAGGCCCCATATCCTGCCTGGCACTCTGGCCCAGGAGGGTCTGGAAACAGAAGCTCCAGTCCCTGTATATAGTTTGTGTCCCTGGGCCTGCCCCCATCAGTCCTTGCTGATGGGTTCTGAACTGCTCCCCTTCTCGGCATCCCTTGCTGGGCCATGAGCCTCCCCTGTCCCCCTTCTGGGCTGGAAAGCGGGTAAGGGTGGGCTGAGGTTGCTGCTGCTGCCACTGTCCTGTAATAAAGTCTGTGAGCACTACATTGGCATGTGCTGGTGCAGTGGGCTTGCCAGTTGCCTGTTTGGCTAGCCAAGGAAGGTAGAAATGAAGACACTAGTGTCCAGATTGAGTGTGGCATGCCACCACCGGTCAGGGAAGTACAGCGCCTGACAGAAAAGAGCACAAAGGTTGGTTGGGGCTTTTGGGATTGGCCCAACCCCCACCTACCAGCCACTCACTTCACCAGCCTGGATGGTACATTCCAAGGGCCGAGCTGATGGGGCTAGGGATGGGTATATTTCCTGAAGCCAGGCCAATGTGGTCTTGTTGGGGTGGAACTCTGGTGTCTTCTCAGGAGGGTAGAGGAACCAGCGCTGGAGGAAGAAGTATAAGGTCACTTTTGTGCACTTTGGACTAAAGATTCCGAACTTCAGCTTCTACCCTTGTACCCTTGTACTGACCTTCCGACCATAAATCACCTCTGAGAAACCAGGCCCATGCCAGTGGAAGGGTACCCCAGATCCAGCTCCTGTGGGGTCAGTTGTGAATAGCTGATGAACAAAATATGTATGGGCTTCCCCAGTCTGTTTTGAAGAAGCACCCACCTGCAATTCCAAAGCTGTAAGCAGGGGTGGTTCCCAGTAGACGAAACGGAGGTGGAGAATAATGCTGGAATAGTGGTGCCCACTCAGTAAAGTTGTTGTCTCCAAAAAAGTAGAGGGTGTCTGCCAGCAGAGAAGATAAGAGGCAAGCATACTGGCAGCAGTGGACTCCTAAGTGCCCCATTTTCAATGCTGCCCAGGTCTGGCTCACCATTGCCTAGGGATGTGGGGTCCTGGGGGTGCAGCAGCTGCTCCACATACTCCTGGAAGGGCAGGTCCACTACAAGAAGGGGGCATCCAGTTGAGACTACTCAGTCCTGCCTTCGGGATGCTGGTAAGCAGGCAGGCCTTGAAGTGTGTGTTAGCTCACCTTTCTGGTATGAGTAGGTGTTGGCTGTACTCAAGCGAACAACGTTGTCCCCAAACGAGGCCAGCAGGTTTTCCCGAGAGCACAGGGCCCTGAACTTCTGGGGTTGGAGGATAAAAGAACTGAGCAACTGGTCAATCAGGATTAGTTGCCCACGTGGGTACAAATACTCACCGAGTTGTCCGTGAGTCCCTGTAATATGACCGGCTTGAGGAAGGCATAGCTAGAGGAGAAAAGGCGGGTGTTGAACTCGACAGGGGCTTATCCTGCCCACCAGGCAATGAAGGTATGGCCTCCGCAGCCAAAAGACCATGCTTTGAGTGTATGCCTAGAATCATGCTGAAACTAGGGGCAGGGAAACATACTGTTGCATGAACTCGGGGTATGTGAGGTGTGCTCGGCGCTCCACAGTACAATGCTCCTCCTCTGTCACTGCTGCTGCAGTCCCCAGCCTGCTCGGCTGCCTGCGAGGACAACAGGTTAGGTTAGTGTAACCTGCCAGCGCTCTGAGCTCAGGCTCCCTACCGCCGCCCATTGCTGCCGCTCACCATCCCCCTTCGTCAGAGCCGGGCAGAACCACAGTCACCATCGTCCATAGTACAAAGACTAAAAGCGGCCCTAGCCGACTAGCCGCCGCCATGAGCATACCGGAGCGGGCGCGCAGCACGCTGGGAATTTTGTCGACAATTGCGTAACCGCGAGCCATTGGCCTATCGCCCCGACTGCTGTAGCTATCGGCAAGCAGAAGCTAGCCCGGCCCCCGAGAGCCTCCTTCATACACAACAGCGCGCGCACTCACACACACAGACACACACAGACGCACACAAGTCCCTCAATCATTTCCTCAAGGCGGAGTGAAAACTATGCTGAGCAGCCATTGGCTATTGTAGGTTACCATGGCTACAGCCCCCTGCCGGAAGTTCCCTCCTGCGGCGCAATCAAAGTGACAAGTGGCTTCACAGCAGCTCCTGCTTTTTATTGGGTTAACAGGTTGCAGCCACCTTCCATCCTGGTACACAGGATGGGTAAGAGGCTGTGAGCCTAGTCGGGCGGACCTCAGGGTTGAGTTAAGGAAACTGCCTCAGCCTGAGGGAAGGCCAGGTCAGGAGTATTCACAGAGATGGCCGCAACCTGCAGGGCAGTGGGAGCTGCCTTCCAGCCATTTCATGATGTGTTGAAGATGGCCACCATGACTGCAGCCCTGGCACCATACGAACAGACCTTTAACCACATGATGGCAGACTGCACACATGCTGGCACAGCGGTGGCACCTGGGAATGGGAAGGCTGTTCAGTTGTGAGGTTCTGGGCTGCCTCCCTCACAAGCCCCCCAATCCTGTCATTGCACCTGTCGCAAACCCAGCCACGGCTGCTCATGGGCCGCTTGCAGTGACTACAGTTGACATGCAGAGTGGTGGAGGCTTGGTTGAGGCAGCTAACTGCCCTGCTGGTACTCAGCTTCACCACCTCATTGGACACGTTCCAGAGGCAGAAGCGCTGCAGCAGATCAATGTAGGATGTGTACCAGTGCTCCTAGGGGAGGGACACAGGTTCAGGTTAGTGTTTCCAGGCAAACTGGGGTAGGGGGTGCAGCAGAAAAGGAGCAGGCCAGGTGAAGGGACAAGCAGCTGGGGTAGGGAGATCCTCTGTGATCATCACACACCTGGGTCTGCTCGTCGATGTCCTTGCGCACTCTCTCACCCAGCACAATAAGAACAGACACAGCCATCTGCACATCGCCCTGCTCAGCGTAGAAGTGCAGCATGTCCCGCACCAACACACTGAAGAAGTCAGGCGGCAAACGGCTGTCATACAGCGCGTGTGAGACAGACAGAAGGGAGGAGGAGGAGTCCACTGGGGCCAGTGAAGCTGTGTCTGCCTCATTGCCGCTTACGTGTGGAGAGTCAGCTTTGTCCTGCAGGTGTTCCGGCCCGGAGGGTGTATCCACAATCTCATGGCGCAGTGGGAAGGCCTCCTGTGGTAGCACATATTCAGGCTCCTCGGCTGAGAGGCAAGGGTGAGGAAAGATGGACCTGAGCCTAGGCTTCCCACTCCACTCAGCTCCTGCTCAAAGAGCCATGCACCAGGTCTGACCCCTCTATACCAACCCTACCTCCCACATTCCTCACTCACGGTGCACATGTTCCGTGTCCAGTGGGTACAACTCATCCTCCTCTCCTTCCACATCACCCAGAAGGTAGTCAGCAGGCACATCACTCCCCTCAGTTTCCTCATTATCTGCCCAGCAGGGAAGGGAGGTCATTCAGGGAGTGGCTCCCCAGCCCTATTCCCATCAACATACCTTCCTACCCTCATTAGTGATGAGTGTAGCTGAAGAATCAAGCAGAGCTGTGTCACTCCGAGTGTCCCCTTTGCTGCGATCTAGCCGTGTCTCACTGCCCAGCCCTGGGCCCATATCCTTCAGATTGAAGCTAGAGGTAGGGAAGGCTTGTGGGTGGCCATGTCCCTG